GATATAGGTATTTTTAATCACATTTAATGTATAGAAGCCAAATATAGTTTTTCAGTTTTTTCTAAAGAGATTTTAAAAGAGTGTATTTGGAAAACTTTCAGTAAAACAAGTGAGTCTGTAGTTAATGATAGCATGTTGGTGGATAATAAAGAGCACTTACCTACCTCCATATGTTGACTTACTATCTTATTCAAGCTTTTGAAGTTCAGTGTTGTCTTGGAAATACCACTATACCTTTGCTACAACAGAAGACAGTTGTGATGGCTCAGTGATATGTCAATATGAATAACAGATGAATCCATAGGTAAGGATTTTAACTGAATTATTAAAATAAAGCATGATTATGAAACATTTTAAAAAGTAATATTGATATTGCTAGCTTTTCCTTCTATTTCTAACATCTGAATAAGTTTTCTTATACAGAGACTACAAATATTATGCAATTTAAAAATATCTTTTTAAAGGCACTTTATATAAGTGTGATTGTTTGTATAATATGTGTTATCCTGCTGTTAATGTAAATGTTGTCATCCTTAGCATACAGTATTCACCTCCCAAATTTTAGTTTGCTCTGTATTTTAGTGACTATTACACGTAAAATTGATCAAAAAGTTTATGAAAATGCATATTATGAAAAACTACATAAATTTCAATGTTTCACACCAAATAAACCACAAATGTCTGTAGTCCCTCATAGATTTTAAATCAGTGTTTGCATTAAAGTATCATCCTTGATTTATTAATACTCCTTCTGTTGTACATTGTCGTTATTTCTTATCTTTTGTTACCACAGAAAGGACTGTAATGATTCTTTGTGTTTGTGAATGGGAGTAACTATAGGAAAAAATGGATTAATTTCTACATGCAGAAGTCATGTCCCAGGTGTTAAAATCACCCCATTAGATATTGCCTCAATTTACATTCCCACCAAAAATGTATAGGTTTTCTTACACCTTTGTGATAACTATTTATGAAAAGACAATTGGAAGAGTGGGAATTAAAACACTGGATCCCTTATGGCTGGCACTGTGGTTGGAGTCTCGAACCTGGAGGCTTGAAAAACATGTCAGCTTTGTATGTGTGCATGTCCCAAATCCTGAGGGGAATATAAAGGAGAAGAGATTGCAGTATGACCATTCTCCCTGGGGGGTGATTTTTCACTTTCTTTTAAGGACACAGGCTGCACTTCTCCTTGATGGAGAGTAAATGTGATATAGTATGGAAAATTGATTTGCATTTATCAGCAACTATTCTAATTCTTCAAATTCCATGTCTATGTGTATCTTATCTTAAGCCAGGATGTAAGATACTTGAGAATATACATAACAAAGTAAGAAAATTGAAGATTCATTTCAAAAGTTGAAATATAAATGTGTTAAAGTACATACAATAATTTGTTTAATATTTTATATGTAAGAAATTAAGAGCATTGAAGATTCATTCAAAAAATATTTATTAGTCACCTACTTTTTCTAGGTGCTAAAATTCGGCAGTCACTGGATAAAATCCCCATCTTGTTTTTATCATAATGTATGCTATGCTTGTAATTCTAAGATCTATCTATGCATCTATTTGCATATAAATACATACATAAAATTATGTGCACTATAGATATGTTTTAGGATGTCTATGTATCATTAAAGATATAAATAGCTTAAGATTATGGTTAGGTTTAGGGTTAAAAAAAGATATAAATAGCTATATAAATTGAGGAATTGATGTAGATACTGATATAGGTATTTTTAATCACATTTAATGTATAGAAGCCAAATATAGTTTTTCAGTTTTTTCTAAAGAGATTTTAAAAGAGTGTATTTGGAAAACTTTCAGTAAAACAAGTGAGTCTGTAGTTAATGATAGCATGTTGGTGGATAATAAAGAGCACTTACCTACCTCCATATGTTGACTTACTATCTTATTCAAGCTTTTGGAGTTCAGTGTTGTCTTGGAAATACCACTATACCTCCTGCTACAACAGAAGACAGTTGTGATGGCTCAGTGATATGCCAATATGAATAACAGATGAATCCATAGGTAAGAATTTTAACTGAATTATTAACATAAAGCATGATTATGAAACATTTTAAAAAGTACTATTGATATTGCTAGCTTTTCCTTCTATTTCTAACATCTGAATAAGTTTTCTTATACAGAGATTACAAATATTATGCAATTTAAAAATATCTTTTTAAAGGCACTTTATATAAGTGTGATTGTTTGTATAATATGTGTTATCCTGCTGTTAATGAAAATGTTGTCATCCTTAGCATACAGTATTCACCTCCCAAATTTTAGTTTGCTCTGTATTTTAGTGACTATTACACGTAAAATTGATCAAAAAGTTTATGAAAATGCATAACATGGAAAACTATATAAATATCAATATTTCACACCAAATAAACCACAAATTTTTGTAGTCCCTTGTAGATTTTAAATCGGTATTTGCATTAAAGTATCATCCTTGGTTTATTAATACTCCTTTTGATGTACATTGTAGTTATTTCTTATCTTTTGTTACCATAGAAAGGACTTTGTAATGATTGTCTTTGTGTTTGTGAGTGGGAGTAACTATAGGAAAAAATGGATTAATTTCTACATGCAAAAGTCATGTCCCAGGTGTTAAAACCACCCCTTAGATATTGCCTCAATTTGTACTCCCACCAAAATGTATAGGTTTTCTTACACCTTTGTCATAACTATTTATGAAAAGACAATTGGAAGAGTGGGGATTAAAACACTGGATCCCTTATGGCTGGCACTGTGGTTGGAGTCTCGAACCTGGAGGCTTGAAAAACATGTCAGCTTTGTACATGTGCATGTCCCAAATCCTGAGGGGAAAATAAAAGAGAAGAGATTGCAGTATGATCATTCTCCCTGGGGGGGTGACTTTTCACTTTTTGTCTTGTTTTGTTTCCTTTTGGCACAACCCTTATTGCAAAAATCTAAATGAAAAATTATCAAAAGTATTATTCTATTAATTTGATGGGTGAAAAAATATTCAATTAATATTTTAATGTGAATGTATGTAATTGTGAATGGAACTGAGCATCCACATACTTCATCTTTTTTTAATAAGAAGTGTCTGTTAAAATTCCTTCTTTGCTCCATGTTTTTTGTGTTATACTCTTTTAAGATGGATTTTGATATCCATTAATATTTCAGAAATATGTTTGTGTCTGGTATAGGTGTTTTAAGTGCATTCTAACATTTTGACAATTATCTTTCGCTTTTTGCTAGATTATTATTTGACATATGCAAATAAATATTCTATTTTATATTTATCTTGTCATGCTTAAAATCAAAGTATAAGATAGTCAAGAGTATTCATAATAATAAGTAAGTTATGACTTTGAGAATATGTAGCTAATTTCCTAAATCCCTGGTGCTTAAATGTCAACCTGAAATTTGAAGAAATGTATGTCAATTTTCCTCCTTCTTTTTCATTTTAGTCTCAGGGTCGCTTTGTGTCTTATGAAAACATGCTAAAGAACTCAGAAAAATAATGAAAGGGAGGAAACAGTAGCTTTGAGCAACATAGTATAATGAAAAAGTACAAAGTTTAATCAAAGAGTCTCAATTAAGAACAGAGAGAACTAGAAATTTTGAGAGGTAAATTAACAGTAAATAAATCCAGTCAAGGTAAGGGATTAAAAAAAAATTATGCTGGACAGACTGACTAGAATGCCGTTTCTTGTCCAAGTTTTATGTTTAGTATTCTCTCTCTTTTTTTTACTATGTGTGTGTGTGTGTAGGTGTTTTGCTTAGATTTTGTTAAAGAAGGAACTGTAAGATGTTGTTGAGTCCCCTTTTAAATAAACAGTTACTAGTAGAGTACAAATATTTACTAAGTAGATTTAGTATGCTAAGAATACCCAGGTCAGCAGATGGTGTAGAGGTTAAGGCAGCTGGACCCCTCATAGACAACTCTGCAGTTTGAGTACCGACAGCTTAAAACTCATGCCAAGTGTTTGTGAATCCATGATCATGATCAAAATCCCACGAGGAGCATGGAGAAGGAAGAACTGCAGTGTGGCCATTCCCTTGGGAGTGATTTCTCACTTTCTCTCTCTCTCTCTTCCCCTCTCTCTATCTTTCTCTCTCTGGTGAACGCACACTGCTTGTAGAATAATAATAAAAAAAAAAGCTAACTAGTTCAGATAATGTAAAAGCATAATGCATATTGAAGAAAGTCATGTGTATATTTTGTGTATTTTTGAATAAGTCATGGGGTTTTTTTTGTATTTTTGAAAATATCTGCCATAAAATCGGAAAGTCCTCAATGTAAACTAATGAAACATATTAAAGACAGGGTTATTTACTCATTACCAATACCCTTACATTGTTTAACTTCCTTGAGTAATAATTGCTTTTTAATTACTTTTCTAATTTTTTTAAAGAAATCATAGTTTAATTAGATTAAAGAAATCATAGTATAATTAGATAACCTAGTCAGGACACACATCAGAGATTATGGAGTCTTATATGATTTGTCTACAGTTTTTTTGCTTGTTTGTTTGTTTGTTTGTTTGTTTTTTTCTTTTTGAGAGGTTTTTGCTATGGGGTGCGTGCGCTCACCAGACAGAGAGAGACAGAGAGACAGAAAGCGAGAATCACCCCCCAGGAGGGATGGCCACGCCACAGTCCCTTCTCCTCCATTCTCCTCCCGGGATCTTGGGCATGCACACACACACACCCAGTGTGAGTTGTAAGCCACCAGGTCCAGGATGTGAACCACGGTTGACTGCGTGGGAGTCCAGCGACATAGCCATTATGCTAACTGCTGGTCCCAATTACTTTTCTATTTTTATTTTCCTATTTTCATGTGCAATATGGAAAATGCATTGAATAATTAGCAAAAATTCCATTTTATTCATTTAAAAAATACAGAGAATAATAGGTGACAACCAAATGAAAAGCCACAATTTTGTGACTGGGAATAAATACTTTCTTTTGCAGACGAAATATTTCTAACCTGTGATATCTACAAATTAGCTAAAAAAATGCATCAAAATAACAGCGTAACTGAATTTGTGTTATTTGGATTGACACAGGATCCTGTGAGGCAAAAAATGGTGTTTTCAATCTTCTTAATTTTCTATGCTGGAACTGTGGTGGGAAATATGCTCATTATTGTGACTATCAAGTTCAGCCGAACACTTGGCAGCCCCATGTATTTCTTCCTATTTTATTTGTCCTTTGCTGATTCCTGTTTTTCAACTTCGACGGCACCTAGATTGATAGCAGATGCTCTCTCTAAAAAGAAAATCATATCCTACAATGAATGCATGACAGAAGTCTTTGCACTGCATTTATTTGGCTGCATGGAGATCTTTGTCCTCATTCTCATGGCTGTTGATCGCTATGTGGCCATCTGCAAGCCTTTACATTATCCAACCATCATGCGCAAGCAAGTCTGCATCATCTTAATTGTTCTTGCTTGGATAGGGTCTTTCATACATAGTATAGCTCAGATTATTCTGGCCTTAAGGTTTCTCGGGATCTTGGGCACGCATGCACACGCGCCTGGCGTGAGTTTTAAGCCACTGGGTCCGGGACACGAACCGCGGTCGACTACATGGGAGTCCAGCGACATAGCCATTATGCTAACTGCTGGTTCCCAAGTAATTTTGTAATTTTGATGATTTCCTACTTTGTCATCTTGCACTCATTGAGAAACCACAGTGCAGAAGGGAGGAAAAAAGTACTCTCCACTTGTACTTCTCACATCATAGTAGTGATCTTGTTCTTTGGGCCATGCATATTCATATATACACATCCCCCAACCACGTTCCCCATGGAAAAGATGGTGGCAGTATTTCATACCATTGGAACCCCCTTTCGCAACCTACTCATTTACACACTAAGAAATGCTGAAGTAAAAAATGCCATGAGAAAGCTATGGCATATCCAGGTTACTTAAGAAAGCAAAGGATGAATTGAGGGCCTGTCTTGATTAATTTTGACTCTTGATTTGTCTTGGGAAATGCCAATATCAAATATAACAATGTCTGAATGTAGTGGGTATAACATATGGCTGTATACAAGTTTGTAGGTTCTTTTGTTATTTTTGTTCTAGTTTACCAGGCACAGTGAATGTCAAGGCATTGTCTTTTGTGTAAAACCTAGATAGAGTGTAGATCAGATCAAATAATTATGGAACAACTAACACTCTTTTCAATTCAGATTAACTTCCTTTCTAGCCATGTTATACCTGAAGTATAAGCCCAACTCCACAAAAACTCTGTAACCTAACGCATACAATTTTCTCACCTTTTCTTTTTGCTTCTGACCAAAATCTGGTAGCTTTCCTAAAAGCTTTAGTCTAACTCTCTTCTTGATAGCTCAATTCTGGCATTGCCTACCACGAAGTATACCTCACAACTCTGTCTACACTCTGGCTTGATAAGAAGAAAGACATTAACAAAAGAAATTAGTTCAACTTGTAAGTATACATAAAGTTAATTCAGCCAGTTCTCTATGATATTGAATTCCTCCAATAATATCTCTCCAAAAGAAGAATTGAACTTCCTCCTCAACACTTTTGGGGCAAATAAACTAAACTGGTATATAAGAACTGCTCGTTTCTTTTTATAACTAGTTTGTATTTGAAAGGTTCATATTTTTGATTGAGAGATTTTTTTTGTATAGTGATATTCCAAACTTATCTTTTATATTTTTTCAGCTATTCTAATAACCTACAGATAACTCATGAGATTTTTTCTTTATTTACATTAGTAATTTATATATTTGTAGGATTACAATATGACATTTCCTTATTAGAATGTAGGTTTAGTAATTAAATCAGTGTTATTAGTGTACTCATCATCTCAACCAATTGTGTTTTTTCTGTTTTTTGTTTTTTGTTTTTTGTTTTTAGTTTTTGTTACTATAGAGTGCATGTACTTTCAGAAAGATAGAGGCAGAAAGTGTGAAATCACCCTCAGAGGGGATAGGTACATCACATCACTTGTCTTCCATTTCATCTCAGGATTATGGGCATGATTTTGGGAGTTTTAAGCCTCCAGGCCTGAGATTTTAACCACGGTCAACCATGTGGGAGTTCAGCACCACCTAAATCAGTACACCTGCTGGCTTGTCATCATGTCACCATTTGTCATTACTTTGTATTTGCGACATTTGAAATTAATTTAAGTTATTCTGAGATATACAGCAAGTTGTAGTTAACTATATGCTCCCAACTGCATTTTATAAGACTTGAAATTCTACCTTTTATTTAGTTGTAATTTTGTTTCCATTGACCAACATCCCTATATGCTCCATGCCCTCCTCAGCGGTTTCCACCCTACAATAGTCATCCTTCCTCTGTGTGAGGTTCTTCATAAAGTATCAGAAAGCCTTGAGATATTCAGCTCTTTATGTGTTTAGTGTATTGGAGCTACAACAACAAAATTCTCATTCTAAGTGGCACAAAAGGGAAATAATAAATGTTAGTAACTATATTTAAAATTTAAATATAGTAGAGATACAACACATTTTCTGATACTGATGTGCACAAAGGTAAGGCATGCTTTGAAATGAAAAATTATATGAGCTATTACATTTGAAGTTGAATGATGTCAATGAAATAAAGAAAGTCACCATAGGCATTTAGAAAACATTTTTGACACTTGTGTTTATTTTGTAGGAGAACCCACTACTGATGCAAGAAGCTGCTTTCTGTCTGTATTTGTTTTGTCCTACTTTCTCAGTCAAAGGGGTTGTATGGCTTTACAAGTTGATTTACCAATGGAATTTTCATGCCCAAAGTGAGCAGTGCATATTAACAGCTGTACTTTAGAGATACAGGTCATGGGCTATGTCATGAACCTTTTATGTAACATAATGTGTTCTAGTTTACCAGTTTTGTCACAAAAACAATTTCATGTTTTTAAGGCTTAATAGATTCCATTGTGTAAATATATCATGTTTTTCATTCATATACTCATTTTTGTTTTCAAGAGAGATTTTTTCTTTTGGACACGTGTACTTGCCAGAGAGACAGAGAAAGGCAGAGACAGAAAGTGAGAAATTACCCCCTGGGAGGATGGCCATTCCACAATCACTTCTCCATTCTCTTCTCAGGATCTTGTGCACACATATACACACTCCTAGTATGTTTTTTCACCTCTGGACTGAGGACTTGAACCCGTTAGGCTATGTAGGAGTCCTGTGATGTAATCATTGTGCATCTGCTGGTCCCCATTTATGCATTGATGGACACTTAATTGTTCCCACATATAAACAGTTTTGAATAATTCTGCAAGAGACAGGTGACTGTAAATGTTTATTTGACATTCTGGTTTCAATTCCTTTAGGTATACAAATGACAGTTGGATTGCTAGATTATATGGTACCTCTATTTTTGGTTTCGAGGAAAGTTCCTACTATTTCCCAAAATGGATTTTCTAATTTATTATAGCTTGAACAGTGTAAATTGTTTTAGTTTTTCTGCATCCTCACCAACACTTGCCATTCTGATTTTGATAATAGGTAACCTAGCAGGGATAAGGTGATATCACGTTGTGTTATAACATGCATTTTTGTCTGATGAGTGGACACATTGAGAATTGTTTAATATTATCTTTTCATCATTTGTTTGTGTTCTTGCAAGAAATGTCTATTCAAGCTCTTTACTCATTTTTAAAATAAAGTTATTTGTTCTCTTGTTACTGAGTAATATGAGTTCCTTGTGTATTTTAGCTATTTAGCCCCTTAACCAAAGTATGATTTGAAATTGTTTTCTCCCAGTTTGTAGAATTTTTTCACACTCTACTTTTTTGTTGTTGTTGTAAAGAAGACTTTTATTTTTCTGCATCCCATTTGTCTATTTGGCTTGTGTTCCCCATGCTTTTGGGGTCATATCCAAGAAACTGTAAGGCCAATGCCATAAAGAATTTCCAGTTCTTTTTCTACACATTTTATAGTTTCAGGTCTTATATGTAAGTCTTTAGCCTATTTTGTTCAAGTATTTATATACTGATATTAGATAATGGCTCAATTTTTATCTTCTGCATGTGGATATTAAGTTTGTGAGTGCTGAGGCCCTTGTAAAAATTAAATTGATCATAAATGCATCAATTCACTTCTGGACTTTACATTTTTGTAAGAATTATTTTATTTACCTTTATTTTTTGTTTATTTTAATGTGACCAGAGAGAGACAGAGTGTGAGAGAGAGAGAGAGAGGGTAGGAGGGGGAGAGTGAGAAAGTAAGTCACCAGGTTCAGGACTCAAACCGCAGTCAGTCACATGGGAGTCCAGCACACCCAAACATCATGTCACCTGGAGTTTAGATATTTTTAATTGCCAGAGGATGTGTGCTTGCCATAGATAGACAGATATATTGGACCAGGGCAGTGGAGAGAAACGTTACTTAATGGGAGGGGGGGGAACATGGTAAAATCATCCCCCAAGGGGGATGGCCATGCCGCAATCCCTTCTCCTCCATTCTCCTCTCAGGATCTTGGGCACACCCGCACACGTGCCTGGCATGAGTTTTAAGCCACCGGGCCCAGGATGTGTACCATGAGTGACTACATGGGAGTCCAGCGACATAGCCATTACACTAACTGCTGGTCCCCCTTCTCCATTTCTTTATCTTGCAGAAAATTGAAACTATAGTCCTATCTCTCACTTGTTACAATTATTTAAAAACTTAAACACAAATCTTCAAACCACTAAACTACTTGAAGACAGCACAGGGTGGAGCAAGGCAGGTGATGTGGTGGTTGAGGACGCTGGAATCCCACATAGCCAGCCATAGTTTGAGTCCTAGATCTCCTGGCATATTTTCTCATTTTCTCTATTTCTTTCTCTTTCTTTCTCTCTCTCCCTGTCTCTCAAGTTTTAAAAAAAGTGGTAATAAGAAAGTTAAATAATAATAATAATACTTAAAAAAAAAAAGAAACAGAGGGGTAGCAGGTAGAGTGGTGGATAAGGGTGCTGGACTGCCATAGTGCTGACCACATTTCAGGTAATGGACATGTCATCTTGCTTTCTCTCTCTCTCTTTCTCTCTGTATCTCTCTCTGGTCAAATTATAAAGAATAAATAATTAATTAAAAAAGGAAAAACAGAACGCATAGGGCAAACATTTCATATTAGACTAGGCAAGACTTTTTATAATAAGAACCCTGGGGGCCAGCAGATGGCATAGTGGTTATGTTGCTGGAATTCCACATAGTAAACCATGGTTCAAGTCCCAGACTAGTGGCTTGAAACTGAGATCAAGTGCATATGTGTACATGCCTGAGAGTCCAAGAAGAGAATGAAGGATAAGAAATTGTGGCATGGCCATTCTTCTTGAGTGGTGCTTTCTCACCTTCCTTCTCACTGTCTTTATTTCTCTCTCTCTCCTGTGAGTGCACATACCCTAAGGCAAAAGCTTCTAAAAATAAATAAATAAAATAAGATCTTTAAGTCATATAGAATATCAACAAAACTAGGTACCTGTGCCTATCTGTGATTTTGACTGGCTAGGAGACTGAGTGGAGGATTATAGTGCAATGAAACCCTGCAAGTTTGCCTCTCTCCCCTTTCTCCCTCTCTCTTTCCTCTCTTAAAAATAAATAAATACACAAGCTTTAAAAAAATTTAATGGCAGTTTTTCAGAGAAACAGCAAAACAGAACAACAACAACAAACCTAAAATTTATATGGAACCATAAAAGACCCCAAAAAGCCAAAAAAATCTTGAGGAAAAAAAAAGAATTCATACTACCTGATTTCAAAATACACTACATGACACAGCGTTCATGATACAGACAGCAGCATACTAATCTATACTGCTGGAAGTCTCATAGCTAGCTGTTGGTGTAGATACTAATTTGACCTTAAAACCTAATGGACACCTATATGCCCAATATCTGACATAGCTGGAGCATGGCTGAATGAATAGCTCCATGATAAGACCATGTTGAGAGT